AGTTATAATTAAATGTTGATAATACTCAAAAAAAAAAATTTTATTTTTCTATAGACAAGTCTGCTTTCTGTAAGCATATCTAACACTTAAGAAGAATTTTTACTGTAGAAAATGATGCAAGATCGTTTTACATTAGAAAATCGACAATTGGCAAAATAGCCACTTTTCTTATCATATAGACTTCATAAAAAGTCTTGGCTACGTTTTTCAATATATTCGATAAAATTTTGTGACATGTTTAAAATAATTTCTATTTGAGTCTTTTTCAAGGTTCACTGTATTGTTCAATAATCAAAAATTGTTTTAAAAAAAACTCTAAGCATATATTTCAAAAGAGCACTAAATTCTAATTCTAATACACTATCAAGTCATTTCAATACACAAAAAAATAGTGAAATATTTTGTTTTGAAAATTTCAACTCATTCCTGTGGTTTAGTATAAGTCTCACTCATGCAAGTACGAGTCATAGAACAAGCAGCAATAGAGATTACCGTAAAAAAAAATACTGAATGCATATACAATCCAACAGGTTATCTGATCGTACTGACATTCAGGTAATTAGTACTGGTGTATAGGAAATCAACAGTCTTCTTTTTGCATGATTATAACGAAAAAATGAAATGTTAAGATTAATTTTTAGAATATAACTATTCATATTGATTATGATAATCTTCGAAATGAAAGTTTTAAATATAATCTATGATTATCATCATCATCCATTTCTAAGAAGTGAGACTACAAAAACGTTGTTTTCCATCGGAAACATGTGATTTTTAAACAACTGTTAAGATGGAAACTGACGATTTAAAATGTTTTCTTTTTTTTTTAGTTAACCATATGTATTTCCCGTTCTTTTTCGAATCAATTTCTCTCGTCCGCTGACTATAGTTTCGAAATAGTATTGTTCTACTATTTTCTTTTTTTTTTCTGTTCTCTTTTAATTCCAGGGATGATAATAGACAACTCTGGCTTACTAGACAACGCAACAATATACACAAGTAACGTCTACTTACTCTTTTATTTTTTATTTTTTTCGTTACTGTTTGTCCATCCGGAATATCAGCAACGAAATGGACGGGAGAAATCATTATGAATTTTCGAGAAAACGTGCCCCATCTCCTCGTTCGCTCTTTCTCTCTTTCTTGTGTCTCACTATTTATTAAGCTCTTTTTTTCGACGACGTGATTATTAGTCGAACTTTATCTTTTTCTTTTAAGTTTTAACTTATTTGTGTGTATGTGAGTGTATAAACTAAACAACTCCAATGATCTCAAAAGAAAATGTAAGTCTAACATATCGTGTTTTGATTTATTTCATAATAAATTTATGTAAAAAAAATGTTTTTTTTTTTTTTGTCAATTAGACTTTTACAATAGGAGGAAATTATCCATTAATTGATCGTTCATTTAATACATCGATTGCATTAGGTAATTTACTTGATGATCCTTTATCAAATATTAATGATTATGAACAACAACAACAACAACAACGATCAATGATAATGATGAATGGAACAACAAATTTACCACAATGGTCAATGCCACAAATAAATTTTGCATCAACACCTATTCTCAGGTAAATTTTTACTAAATATAATTATTTTAATATTTTAGTTTTCTTGTTTAGTATGTGTTCGGATGAAAAATTTCTTCAATTTTTAATGAGTAAAGATTTTACAGCACGTTATGCTGGTGATGATGATCAATATGAAGATGATCATTATTTACAAGAAAGACATCAAAATATTCCATCACAATCTTTAATAGAACAAATGGTTTGATATTTTATTCTTATTGATTTTAATTGACATATAATTATGTTTTTCTTTTAGCAATGTATCACAATTAATAATGATGATAATCGATTAAAATTAGCTGCTGCAAATGAACGTCGACAAGCTACTCGTAAAAATTTTTGAAGATAAATGAAATATATATTATGTTATTTATTATAAATATATTATTTAGGTCATTTTGGTAAAGTAAGTCAAAATATGTGTTGGTGTGCACCATTACCTGTTAAACCACGTGCTTATTCAATTAATCCTCCTTCACTTTCAAATAAAATTTTTCTTGGTGGTATTCCGCATGATCTTAATGAACGTAAGAATAAACTATATTAATTAATGTTGTTTTTTTTTTTTTGTAATTGAAAATGTTTAATTTATTTTCTTTTAAGGTGAATTAGCAACTCGTCTTAGTCAATTTGGTCCTGTTCGTATCGAATGGCCAGCTGAAAATAATCGAACACGTCGTCGAACTAATCATGGTTTATTTTATTGCAAAAAAAAAAAATATTTTTTATTCGATTTATTATTTTGTTTTTTTTTTTTTTTATTTGTCTCAGGCAAATCTGGATATGCTTATGCTATATTTGATAAAGAATCGTCTGTACATGAATTACTTTTAGCTTGTTGTCAACAACCACAACGTAATTCGGATGGTCGTTGTGAATATTATCTTAATCTTAATAGTCAACGATCGGCTTCAAAACGTAAAAGTGTAAGTTAATCTTACGCTCTTATAACAAAAAAAAAACTATTTCGTTCAGAGAGTTTTCTCTGAAGTAGAACCAAAACCTACAAAACTAATTTCATCGAGATGCCGGTATCACTAAAGAAGCAGCTATTAGAATCGGTAGAAAAAAGTCGTTCGGACTAAAGCCCGTACATCTCTAGTGTAGATGTGAATGAAATTACCCATTTTTTTTAAGATAGAATTTTCAATCGAACATATTGATATTGAAATTAGATTTTATATTTGATGATGATTTTTTTTTTCTTTTCTTATTTTAGATTCAACTGATACCATGGTTTGTAAGTATTGAAATGATTTTATTTAAATCCAATCAATTTTCATGTTTTGTTTTATTATTTAAGACGGAAGATGCACAATGGATGTCATCAAATCGACATGATGCAGCAATGTGTGAACTACTTAAAGATGATCCATATAAGACAACTGTCTTTGTTGGAGCTTTGCATGGTATAGAATAAAATTTTATTATTACAACTAAAAGATCAACGAAATTTGTTGTTGTTGTTTTTTTCTTTGATGATGATATTAGGTATGATGACCGCATATGCACTTGCTCGAATTTTTTCGAAATTATTTGGTGAAGTTGATTTTGCGGCAATTGATACTGATCGTAATAAATATCCGATTGGTAAGTTAAGACTTATGAATTTTGATTGTATGAAATTTCTTTTTTTTTTTTTTGTGATTATATAGGTTCTGGTAGAGTCATTTTTACTAGTATTCATAGTTATTTCAGTGCTATGACGGTTCGTTTTTATTTAAAAAAAACATAGAAAAATGATGAATATTTATATTTACTTTTAATAGGCTAATTATGTATTTATTGATTGTGAACGATTTTCTAAAGTGGTAAGAATTTATATGTTTTATTTTTTGTAGTCAATAGAAAAATTGAAATTAAAATAAATATATAAGAAAATAGCTCGAAGTCTATTCTTTCATAAACGATATGATTGTTTGTATTTTCCAAACTTTCTCATGATTCTTATCATTGTAATTAGTTGCTTTTTTGTTCTATTTGAAAGAACATGTGGTGCTATAAAATCCATTTTTTAAATTAAACTTTTTTTTATTATTAAATAAAAAGCACTACAATAAATAGACAACTATTTTTTTTCGAGATATTGAACTTATTACTCGTTTTCTTCACAGTACTTAAAAACCAAGGGTACTTGTAGTTTAATATGTTCCTTTCAACAAAAAAATAAATGGACTTTATAGAGAATTAAAAACTTTCATCATCTCATAACCAATTTCTTTATTCAATAGATTCAATTGGATCCTTATTTGGTTGATGCTCAAACATGTAGTGGTGCAAATGGTCAATCATGTACTCAATTAGGTAAATATTTTTGTCGTTCACTTGCTTGTTGGAAATATTTTTGTGATAAATGTTGGACTAAAGCACATACTGGTATTAATAGTCAACAACCATTAACTGAAGCACTTGCACATAAACCTCTCATGCGTAATGCTAGTGTTTCCTGATTGGGTTTGTTTTCTTTTTCCTTTTCTCTGTGTTTTTTCTTTTCTTTTTGTTGTTTGAAAGAAAAAAAAATGTTATGCATTCCTGTTGATTGTTTTTTTTTTCTTTGTGTTTGAGATGCATTTCATGTTCATCTATATATCTCTGTTGAATGGTTCAATTGTTTGTGTTCGTTTATTTTTTTTGTGTGTGTGTGTTCCACTGTGCCGGTGATCCACTCTATTGTGAAGCTGGCCTTCGTCGTGTGTTGTGTGATAAATTTTCTTTCTTGCGCCTTTTTTTCTCTATATGTATGTTTTTCTATTATAGCCTTTTTTTTTTTTGTTATTTGTTATTGATGTTTATTTTCGTGCATCTTTAATATATTGTACTTTGAAAAAAAGAGACAACGATTGAATATATATTAAAAAAAATTCGTACATTGAAATGTATGCGCTTGGATGGTTAAGTATTCGTTTTTTTTTTGTTTCTTTAAAATATAGTCATAAGTAAATATTACTTTATGATATCGCTATCAAAAATATTTTTTCATAACATAGCACAGAAGAAGAAAAAAAAACAATGAGAATGATGGTTCTTGATGCAGAACATAGCTTAGTATGAAGAACAGAAAAGAAAAAAATAGTAAGACACTCTAGAAGAAACAAGAGAAGAAAAGAAAACGTGGTGTAAAACATAATTGAGGGCACATAGATACTATATCGACAGTCGTATATACAAACGAGACATATTCGAAGGTTAAACATGCCCAATCATCAATAATATTGACACCATCAAAAAATTTGCGAAAGAATATTATTATCATGATTCTACCCACAGCTTTATTAGTTAACAATCTTGGCTTATTTATTTTTGAAGTTATTGGATATCATGCTTGCCATAGTGGTATGTCGAAGGTTTTTCTTCTCTAAAAAAAGTAACAAAAGGCAATATATATATTCATTTCTTTTTTTGTTTATCATTTAAAAAAGTTGTGATGCTACTTGATGGTTATTTTCATCTTTGCCAAGCTATTCTATGTACAGTAAGAATTGTTTCACATCAAGTAAGTTAGAAAATTACAATAGAATTAGTTCATTTTGTATTTATACATATTTCTAGATTCAATTTACATATACACCTCGACATACATATGGATTAGCTCGAGGTAAATTGTTCCTTAATCAATCGTTATTATGTAAATAATTAGATATATTTGATCTTTTTTTTCTGTGTTAATAAGTTGGTGTTGTTGGTGAATTAGTTGCTTTTATTTGTTTTCTTTCATTATCTATTTCGGTTTTTCTTGAAAGCCTTAAACATCTTATTGATGTGATTTTTATAATACCAAAACAAGAAAGTGATACTACAAAATTATACACTGCTCATGGACGTGGTAAGTTTTATTTAACAAAAAAAATTCTATATTAAAAATAAAAATAAAAACTTTATTTATAGAACATATACATAGTTTGATTGATCATCCTAAATTTATACTTGGTGTTGGTATTTATGCAACTATTTCTAATTGTTTATTAGGCATTGCAATACTTTGTGAGTGATATTGAATTTTTAATATAAAAATATGAAAATATTTCTATAGATAACGTCGTAAAAAGTTCAAGAAAATTTAAAAAACAATTAGAACAAAGACGAGCAAATCGAAAACAACCATTACCAAGAAAATTATTTTCGAAATCATGTACGTATTAGAACCTATTTTATATGAAAGAATTCATAATTATTTGTTCGACAAGTTTTATTTATTTCAAAAATAAAAATGTTAGTAGCACAAGATCTGTAGGTTTAACATTGAACAACGATGTAGATACTCTTACTACCTAGGTTAATCAAAATGGATATCATTTATAGTTCGTTTTCTGTCAGCAGACGGTGACAAAGAGGTTACTTGACGGCAGTCAACAGGCTATATTTTCTCTTGATCCTACCCACAGCAATAGGACATTGCAAACGATATCATATTTTCGCCGTATACGATCTTATATATACTGTAATCTTACTATAGCACAGCTGTAATTCTACATTCAGAATCAAGAGAATATACGGTCCATATTTTTTTCACACGATTAATCGCAAAGAGAATGTTTTATTCTGTCTATTTTGGGACAGATTTCCTCACCATCCGGTTACTTAATCCTTCAGAAATGCAATAAGAAATTAGGTTATATATTATCACAAGATGTTAATCATATATGGTCTTTGATTGTATATCAACAATGCCTATGACGGTTAAGGGAGACGCTGCTAAGGCGCTTGTCATGCTTTGTAAAAAATAAGTTTTGAGCTCTCATGAAAAAATCTGTTTTTATCGTAAATCTTTTGCAATAAGATTTAACAATATCGGATTGTTGCCTGTAATCAGGACTTACCGAGTTCTATTTCTAGTCAAAATATCAAGCAAAAAGATTGAAGAACTTTTTTCTTCATTGTCAAAAATGATTCTATCCAACGAAAAAACATCAATCCATCTTACATATTCAGTTGAGTTCTGTTGATTTGATTAGAGTTTTTTTGTAGAAAATCTTGCTAGGCGAAATAATTCAATACTACGATAGCTCGAACTAAATCTGTAAGACCTCGTTTATAATTGTAGGCACTCAAACTTCTCATAGGTTCAACAACAACAGCAGATAGTTCCTTCTCTCTCCAAAAATGTCGCACTTTACTGTTCAAATGATCCTCAAAAGTTACGACCAGAACATATTTTATAAGAAAAACTTTCCATCAAGTTATTTCTTGAGATATATCTAAATCAATAAATATTCATTTCTAACTGACAGGCAACAATGGAATAAGAAAAAGAGAAAAAATTTAGACCCTATAATAAATGGTTATGTGGCCGGTTAATCGTTATTATTAACGAATTAGTTAGTGTATGTCATTCACTTTTCATTATTATTGAATAAGTAATGCTATTCCAGATTTAAGTTGCTCTCAAGAAACGATTCATCTTGTACTTAAATCATCTTGACAAAAAAATTGTGAAACATAAGAAGAAAAGGATGCAAAATAAAACTTTCTAAACACTTGGAATCATTTTTTACCTGATATGATTCTTTAAATTATTTAGAATCGTTGATAATTTATTATTAAAGATACGAAACCATAAATAGTTTCTTATGACACTTGTTTAGAGATCGATTTGTGATTGGGCATACCCAAGTACTAGTATACTGACGCTAAGGTACATCTATCTGTGATGATCTTTGACTAGTGTCTATAATGGTTTGTGAGACGGATGGAGGGGAGACAGAGTTCTATTATATACTTCAGTCTTTTACGATTTTCAGCTCAAAATTTTGAAAATTAGGCATGTTTTGATATAAATACATGAATTAAAGTTTCAATTTTTCGAAAAACTAATTATAAAAAAGAGATCTTCAAATATAGATAGGTCTTCTATTATGGAGTGAGATTTAGATTGTGTTTCAGAAAAATAAAAATAAAAAATTTCTTGATTTTATTCTAGTGCTTATTACGGATACATTACCTATACATCATTCATTTCTTCAAGTATTTAATATGCTACTTGGTCCTTTAGCTATATTAGCATGTGGTATTTTATTAATAATGTTATCGGAAAAGTATCATGTCCGAGTTATGTACAGTCGTCTTGTCGATCCGATTATTTGTTGTTTTCTTTTTCTTTCATATATTTTTATGATTGCTGTACCAAGTATATACTTATTATTTTGTATTTAATCATTGATTCTATTGATTATTTGTTTCTTTCCTTTTTTGTTTCGTGTTCTGATAGTTCGAGATGTAATGCATCTTGTTTTACAAGCTAAACCAAATTATCTTAACTCGGATGAAATTGAAACAACAATAATGACATCTGTATGTTAATTAATTTAATTGAAAACAAAAAAAAAAGGTATGTTCTTTTTTCGTTTACTTTTAGATTTCAGGTGTTACAGATATTCATGAATTTCATGTATGGCGATTAACACCACAAAAAACATTAGCAACAATTCATGTTGTTTTTAATACAACAGAAGATATATTAAGTAAATATCAAGATATTTGTTTAATATTTGAAGAAAATCATATTGATCATGTTACAATTCAACCGGAATTTTCATTGGTTAATTTCTAATTTTTCATTTAAATATATTTATTTATTTGAAAATTTTTTTTTATTTTTAGCTTTCGGATAATATGAATACAATTACTTGCAATAATCAATGTTCACTAGATGAAGCCGAATGTATTGCAAAGCAATGTTGTGAGACTGCGACAACTAAAAATATTAAAGAAATTTCAAAGATATCGAAACCTAGAATACATTTTCATCGTCGTAGTAGTGTTGATTTACCTTCAATAGATACAGAAACTGCAAGTGAAACAGCAGGATAACGAACAAATTACAAAATTCAAATACTATTATTTCATTTCTATCAATGATAGATTCGCTAGTTGTTATTATTGTTAATAATGACAACTGGAAATTTTCTATTTTTTTTTCATTTCATTTTTTTTTTGTGATATAATAATTTTAATCTCCAGTTAAGATGCTCATAATTCATGGTCGAGAAATTGATTTGTTTTAGAAATATTACATATTCTATTGTGATTGAACTTTTCTCTTGTGTTTGTGTGCTGTAATCAATGAAAATTTTACTTTAGTTATTTTTTTTTGTTGTAAGTTTTTAAAATAATATTGTAATCAATGTTAATCTTCGCAAAAGATCTCTCATATGATAATGCAGCTTTTATTCATATTAGGTATTTTTTTAATCGATGGATGAATGATGTTCTACGATTATGTGCAAGCCTATTCAATTGATATTATCTTTCGATAGTTATTCTAAGCTAAACTCTGTACGACCATCTACAGCCTCCGCAGTATTATTACGCTGTTATGAATACACAATATTACATGAGATCGCTTGTCTTTCAGATATTTTCTACCAAAAACCCAGTAGAGTATGTTGATGATATCTGACAGTTACGTCCAACTATCATTTATATGAATATACCATTTTGAAGTACATGCAAACGATTGTTGACTATCTGATATTTGCCCGGATCTCACTGGAATTCACTGTTATATTATGCATTCGTAACATTTAATCGAACTATGTTCTATTCGATATGCGTTTGAGACACTTACAAAAGAACTACCCTAACTGACATCTGTCATTTAAACTCATATATTGGATCAACAAGTAGGTCTCAGAAAGATTAGTAAAAATCTCAAAGAGTTTATACCTTTCGGTATTTGGTGCTAAGTCTTGACTGATTTACTAGATTTTCATTCGAAAATTTTATCTACTATGTCATAGATCTAATGACTCTTAGAAAGACCTGAAAGTTTCAGCCACAAAAAGAATGTTCTTTTGTCAAAATATTGAATTTTCGAAAGTAATTTATTTCCGCAGACAAATCGCACAGAAAATTGAGTTCACTTAAAAAATTCAATAACTCAATAAAGTTTCATTGTTGTTGGTTAAAAGTTTCACGATACTCTAAAAATTAATGTACATAGCTATGGACAAAAATTTTGAATCGAAACTACGATATTTGGTTTTTCGAGAAATACCTGAAATGAATTGAAAATCAGGTAAATCATCTATAATCGAGCACCACAGATCTATAGGAATGAACTCTCTTAGGCTTTCACTTGTGTTAGTGGCACCAGCCTATGGACTCAATATCAATTCAGTTGGCGGCTGCCTGTTGAGATAGTTTTCGCATTCGGACAGTATATTAAATAATAACAGTCAATCATACAAAATTGTTCTTTTTTTTTTAGAATATGTCAAACTATATGTGAATACCGAATATTGATACATGATTTGAAATGTTCCAAAATTAGAGAATGATCAAACTATGATAAAAGATTAGATAAATATAGTTCGAATTAACTGTTTATCTGTTTGTTCGTTTTGTGATGAAGTCTTCACATATTCATGATAAAGTAGTTAGTAATAACTTCGTATATTATATTTATTTTGTCAATTGATATCCGCACAGAATCTAGAATGGACAATAAATGGAAGTCTAAGTGTGGTTATGTTAGGAGTAGTGTGATTAAAGTTAATGATAATATTAATCTGTCATGTTAAACAAAGCTTCTCATCAATGAAATTTTCTGTCAATAAGTTTATTTGATTAACAATTTCTAGTGTAAAACTCTTAGTTCATACTTTGAGAATGATTTTTTTATGTTATATCCATGTCGAACAAATGAATCATTATTATCTGTTTCTTGAATTGGAATTCATATTAATTAAGATAATTGAATATAAAAAAAAATATTTTCTAATAAAATTTACTCATTCAATGATCCTTTTGTATAATCATGACATAAATTCTAGTGGAAAAATACATACTAAATCATTTATATGATTATCAATAGACAAATCATATAAAAATTCATTGTAATAAATAAATATTAGAATGAAAAACAAAAATTAATTTGTTCAAAAAATAATAAGAAATCAAGAATAATCAAATGTTACATATCATAGAATAATTGTAAATGAAATGAATAAAACTAATTAAAGATGTCATTGACAGACATTTTCTATGATTAGTTCGACCTTTATATCTCAAAATAGATAGATATAAATATCTTAAATCGTTTTTGACATAACCAACAGCTGCCATATTCTGTTCTTTATTGTCAGGATATATTTGCATTAAATCATGTTATATCATATTGCATGCAAAGTGCATGATGACGACATTATATTTTGAATACTCGTACAAAAAGACTCAACAATGCTAGGTATTAATCAAGACCTATCATTAGTACACACGTAGAACAATAATCTTATTTGAGTACTCAGTTGAGACTATGTTATAGCATTAGCCTTCAAAAGTAATTCGATATTCATTTGATGAGTACTAGTGAATACTAGAAAAATCTAGAATCACTTGGTTTACCGGGTCTTTGTTTTTTAGATATCGAAATTTTAATGGGTTTCGTATTCGCCCTAGGTCACAAAAAAATATCTACTTTTCAGTTTCGTCTTCAAATTTCGCACGAACAAAGTTCGTAATGAGATTAATTGATTGCGCAACTAGTATTTCCATTCTGGAATTGTATATGTATGAACGCAAACCGCTTTTATGTATGAGAATTTGAAGTTGAAAATCGATTTCTCGTGAGACTACAGCTTTTTTCTTGAAAACTCCATCATGAAGACTAAGGTCCGGAAAAGCAAGTCATTCTAGGCTTTTCTATAAGTCACTAGTACACTCATCAAATGAGCTATATGAAGAAAAAAGAGAAAATCAAGAATAGACATTAAACTACGTATATTTGTTTGCATTTTTCAACGAAACATGCATTATTTTAAACTGAAACAGTTTGAATAATTGAGATGATTTTAGAGAGAAGAATTGCTAGTATTAATGAAGTTACGTTTTATTTGACTTCTTCGTGTCATGAATCATGTCATTTACGTCAAAAGTATACACGTTTATATACGCAAGTAGGCGAGAAGAGTCAAGGCGAACAAGATGGTTTACGATACATAGTTAAAACAGAAAGAAGGATAAAGCATATGATATGAAGGGATGACAAGGAAAGGTTGAACATTACATTTGAACAATCAATTCAACCGAGGAATGAGAGTAGATAATGGTGCACAATAGATTCAACCTGGAATGTTACAATCATAATGAAAACAATTACAATGTGACAAAAAATTTCCGTCCTTGATCGAAAACATTTGTACCTATTTACTTCAATAGAATATTTAACAGCTGATAGCTATTCATAGTTTGTCTTAGTAACAAATCATTTTAAAGGTTTTTCAATAGAGTATGAAGAACTAATAGAAGAGAGACGATCGACTAAAATGTTATTGGCAACCATCGTAACGATCAAACTGATCATATTACAGACATTTACGGGAAATTTCTTTCTAATGAATACTTTTCCATTCCGGAATTATCAATGAAAAATACGAGTACTTAATAAATTCAACATAACAATAACCATATTGGGTGACATCTATCAAATGTTTATAACGGTAAAAAGATTAGGTGACCATTTATTTGCAAACAACGGATTCATTCAGTTAGGGCGACACTTGATAATAAATGAATAAGATACATGATATTCGAGAGGAAAGAAACAATATTTATTTAACTCAAAGCTATTTGTTTATCATAAAGCTATGCAACTAACTTTTCTCTATTCATTCATATTCGTAAAATAATTTTATTTTAGATGAATAGTCTCAATCGTGTACGATCTTCACTCTATCGTACACTTTTTTCTGTAAAAAATTCTAATACAAATTTAGATTCAATTCCACAAGAAGGATTTTCAATATTAAATCATAATTTTTCTTCATATCATCATTTTGATTTATCAACAAATAGTCAACAACAATCCGAAACATCTTTACAAACAATAAATCAAAGTCATAATACATCAATTATTGATAAAAATGGAGATGATATTGAATTATTACAACATAGTTCCAAACGTACATTACGTACAATACCAGGTGTTTTCTGTCCGATTGCTTTATCAATGTTTGCAATATCAATATTTATGCGTATTGGTTTTGTTCTTGCACATGCTGGTGTTTTACAAACATTATTACAATTAAGTCTTTGCTTTATAATACTTTTGGCGACATTATTAAGTGTTTGTTCATTAGCAACAAATGGCGCTATTGAAGGTGGTGGTGTTTATCACATGATATCACGTACATTAGGACCAGAATTTGGTGGTGCTATAGGTTTATTATTTTTTTTTGCAAATGTTATTTGTAATGGACAAAGTGTAGCAGCACTTGTTGAAGCATTAGTTGAAAGTTTTGGACCAGGAAGTAAGACAATTGAAATATATATATATTAGAAAAAAAATAAAATAAAACAAAAAGAAAAATAAATTTTAGGCAAAGCAAATATTTTTCATGAAACACATTGGTGGAGATTTTTATATGGAACATTAATTAATATAGTTAGTCTAATAACATGTTTACTTGGTTCATCATTATTTTCTGTGGCTGCATTTTTTATATTTATACTTGTTTGTTTTGTTTATCTTATGGTTGTTATTTCATTTTTTATTCGTGGACCACATCTTGTTTTAATACCAAAAGTAAATACATATGCTTATAATAATGAAGCATTATTATATAATAAAACAGATCTTCTCTATGGACATTATACAAGTTTTAGTTCAACAACAATGAGAGAAAATCTTTTTTCAAATTATACAATTGATTATACAACTGGTAATACAATGAATTTTGCTACTGTTTTTGGTGTACTCTTTTCAAGTATAACTGGTTTATTAGCTGGAGCAAATATGTCTGGTAGGAATTTGATAAAATTATTGAATTAATCTAAAAACAAAT